GGTAATCTGCTGCCAAAGCTTCCTCAGCCTCTCGTTTATCTGCCTCTGTTGGACGGCGCCAAAATGGAGGCATCTCCGGCGACTGCTGCTGGTTTTCTATACTCGAAAGAGAACTCCAAAAAGCGGAAGCCAATTGAAAGTCGCCCCAACCAGGCAAATGAATGTAGCAGCCAGGGGCATCCTCAACATCATTTTGCGTAGTATATGTATGAGGATTTTGCTTGTTTTCTGAATTTGAAGGGAGAGAATGGCGCAAAGACTCGGTCAAAATAAGAGGTGAACCCCGCAGGAGACCAGTGAGACGAAGATAGACTTGCCCGTTTTCAGCCGAGATTCCTAATTCAGCCAAAAAAAGAATGCGTGACAGGTTGAAATGGAGTCTATGTAATTTTCGGAAAAAACGTAAACCAAGCTCTTTTCAATTTTTGGTGGATTCCCGATGCCTAATGCGCACTCTATGAACCTAACCCTTGTTTTTAGGCGTTCTGTGGACTACATTGAGAAATGCATTGGAGTATGGGGAACGTTTATAGTACAACACCTGCCAAGTATGACTGCTGTCAGCCTTTTTACTAGAATTTGATCGCTATGCCTCCGTTTCGTAGCATTTCTGTTAACCTCCGTCAAACCAGTAGGCTTTTGTAGATGACTAGATTTAATCAGAGTAACTTTTAGATCCAATTCATTGTTAACCACATAGGAAGGCTTATCTGCCTAAAACCTAAGTCACGGGCTTCAAGAAAGTGTATTTAATTAGACTTCATTCTTGTAGGATGATACAATAAACAATATTTTAGCTAGATTCCAACTTTAGTAGGCTCCGATAGATCAGAATCTCCATTAATTGGATCAAAAATAAGGATGGTCATCGCAAGTGACTCATGTGATAAAAATTCCGATGTCTTAACTGCCTCCAACCAATAAGTGGAAAACCTCACAATGTCATTTTCTATTTTTGTCAATGGAGCATTGGACATTGTTCTCATATAAATCTAACAAGCTTCGAAAACTGACAAATTCCCTTGCGGCAGCACATTAGCTTATTGGCAGCTATGATTTTGTCTAATCTACGCCAATCCTAATTTTAAAAATATGCACAAATGGACCACGATTGCTTCAAAAATAATGTCTGCTTTTTAACTTACTATAGTCTGAATATATGATTTAGTCATAGCTACTTTAACCTCATGACCCTCTTTCGAGTTATTTTGAGGTTGCTTAAAAGATCTTAGGTCTAAATTTAAGTCAAATTAAGATGAGAAAGCCCTTTTAGAGATAAGGCTAAATGGAATTCATGTTCAAATGACTTAGTGAGATTCCAGTGTTAGTTCAAATTAGTTGGAAAGAGTTCATATATTAGGCCTTGCATTACATAGAATGAGCTAGGATGAACATCGTTCTAACGCAAAGCTACTGATAATTTCAAATACCAATTACTTTCATTTATTAAATTCTTATTTCTATGTTAACTATTGCATATGAACTCTCCTAATTTGTATTTGGCCTCCACACTACTGGGCTTAGGTCTAGAAGTGACTAAGTGCGAGATGTACTTTTCAAGTTAACTAGGATTCATCGAAACCCAGTTTCTCTTCATATCTATAAAGTTTTTCCATAGCTTAGATAAACAGATAAAAATAAAGAAGGATATGGAGATTCTTCACACGAATATGCAGATTATGTTTAGTCGTGGTGCAATTATTTAAAAAATCTTTTAAAATTTGCCTACTTATAGGAAATAGAAACAAGAATAACATCAAAAAAATCAATGATATCCAAATAACAAAACAAATAGGAGAAATATGAATGCCAGAAAGTAATGATTTAAATGGTATGAATAAAAGACGTGAGGACATTAAACTTTCTCTTTGAAGTGAAGAATCCAGTGACATGAATTTAATGAGGAAATATCTTAAACCTAACTTTCTTCATTCCTAAAGTAAAATTAATCCAAGAATATATTTGACTTTCTCCGTTACATCATAGAAATGTCGACTGCGATAGGATTCAGCGTCACTGAGGCAAAAAATTGACTATAAGAATCCTTGCCAAAATATACGTGTTAGCATACGGATAGTTATGTAAGCAAATGCAAAGATAGGCGAAGGCTGGGAATATGAGAGATTACATCTCAGCATCAAAAGCTCACTTGAGCAAAGGCCATAAGAGCAGTAGGATT